GATAGTCCAATAATTTTTAAATTCTCTCTCCTGGATCTATTTTCCAGGTCAGTTGTTTTTCCAATGAGATATTTCACATTGTTTTCTAATTTTTCATTCTTTTGGATTTGTTTTACAGTGTCTTGATTTCTCATAAAGTCACTACCTCCAATTGCTCTATTCTAATTTTTAAGGAAGTATTTTCTTCAGTAAGCTTTTGGACTTCCTTTTCCATTTCGCCAGTTTTGCTTTTTAGGGCATTCTTCTCCCCATTGGCTTTTTGGACCTTTTTTGCCATTTGGGTTAGACTATTTTTTAAGGTGTTTTCTTCAGTATTTTTTTGGGTCTCCTTTTGCATCACTCTCAGTTTGTCCTCTGCTTCTCTTAATTGCTTTTCAAAATCCTTTTTGAGATCTTCCATGGCCTGGGACCAATTCATATTTTTCTTGGAGGCTTTGCGTGTAGGAGCTTTTGCTTCATTGTTTTTTTCTGGTTGTGTGTTTTGATCTTCTTTGTCACCAAAGTAAGATAATATGGTCTGACTCTTTTTGCACTGCTTGCTCATGATTCTGGCCAATTACTTGAGTTATAAACTCTTTGTTAAGATAGGAGTCTGTTTCCACTGTGGAAAATGTACTGTCTCAAGCTTCAGGGGTTTTGTGCAGCTGTTTTCAGAGATACTTCTAGGGACCTGTAAATATTCAGTTCTTGCAAGGTGCTATGATCAAGGGCGAGGTGTTTACTCCTTTCCTGGCCCGTGCTCTGGTCTATGAGTGACCACAAGCACTCTTTTCTGTCTTGGAACTGTGAGGAAGATATCCTCTTTACTGCTACTACAAGCTCCACCATGCCAGCCCTCCTCCTTGCCCCAGGACCGCCATACAGAACTGTGACCCAGTTCCAAGCACTGGCAAAGCAAGAGAATCCTGCACCAGCAGAGAGATCCCAGCAATCTCCTTCTGTTCAGCCACTTGATTCCCTCTCAGTCTGTGGGCTGGAAGCACAGGAGGCAGCCAGAATAGAGCTGAGACCACCATGTTTCTCTCTCAGCACAGAAGAAACACACTTTTCCCACTGACCTTCTAAGTTGTCTTTGGCTTTCCTGGGTTAAGAAGTCTGGAAACTGCCACAGCTGCCTGCAATTCAGTCCTCTGAGGCCTGTTCCAGGTTAGCTGTGGCACGCATGCCCAAGCCCACCTGAGCTCCTGTCCCAGCCCGCTGTGATATAACTTGCTGATCAACCATCCAGGTTGCCTTGGGCTGGAAATTTGTTTCATTCTGTCTTTTTGTGGGTTTTGCTGCTTTAGAATTTGTTTAAAGCCATTTTTACAGGTATTTGTAGGGGTTTGGGGTCACAGCTTTTACTCTACCATATTGGTTCCACCTCCCAACAAAGACTTTTTGATCATTAAGAAGCATTCCATTCATTTTTTCAATAGCTCTTTCAGCAGCTTCTTGTGTCTCAACGTGTACAAATCCATAGGCCTTTGACCCATTTTCATCACATGCCACCTTACAAGAAAGGATGTTTCCAAAAGCAGAAAATGTATCATACAATGCTTTATTATCAATGGATTTATCCATATTTTTGATGAATATATTGCCCATACCACTTTTATGTAGTGATGGATCACGTTGAGACCACGTGATACACGCTGGCTTGCACTTAGTGACATAGAAATTCATTGTATCTATTGCCATTCAGCATCCACTGGCTGCTGGAAGTTGACATAGGCATAGCCCAGGGAGCAGCAGGTGATCATGTCCCCACAGAGGATGGGTCTGTCTCGGCTGCTTCACCGGGTTATTTTATGAAAGAGGAAAAAAAAACCAAAGTCTCCAGATTTTTTTATGATTTTTTGTGGTTTTTTTAAAGTTTTTTTTGTATTTTTTTAAATAATAAATGTGTGTTCCAAGGCTGGAGCACACACTCCGCACTCACAGTACTAACCGCCGGGGAGAAGGGGGCACTTTCTATCTTTTAAAGGGAAAAAGAACTTGTGTTAGACTGTACAAACATTTAGCCTTGGTTAAAAAAAAAAGTTACAGAGAAAATTTTTTTTTCTGGTAAAAGAAAATATTTTTCTTTGCTAAAATATAGTTAAATGAAAACAGATGGTTTGTATCACAGGTGTAGAAACAGCCATACCTGAAATGGAGAATTTGTGGGGACTGGAATGGGTGTGTGTGTGTGTGTGTGTGTGTGTGTGTGTGTGTGTGTGTGTGTGAAAGTATAAAATACTTGACAAATATTCCCGAAAGAAGTAATATATCTGTACCCACACCTTTATCCCTCCTGTATCTAGAGACTTCCATTCATTCCTGCTGGAGTTTGGCTGCAGGGACTGGTAATGGAAAGGACTCACATAGAAAAAGTTGTTTTAGACAGCTACTCGTGCACCAACACGAAAGGTTTTCTTAAGACTCAGGAGCAGCTCCACACTTTACTCATTCCATATTTTAAGGCAGCTCCTCAGTGAACCCCTCCTCTGTGGTCATCTCTGGGTTCCAGGGAAGGGTGATTCCCCTGCTACCACACAGGCATCCTTCTTGAAGGCATCTCTGCACACTCCATGTGACTGAAGTTGAGCAAGCAGCTGCCTCAGAGACCTTGATCTTCTCCCCTTCCTCCCACCATGCTCCCCGTCTCTAACTCCCCTAACAGGTGGTACATGGTGCTGATGCTGGACAAGATGTTCTGCTTTTCTTTGCAATAAAATGTATTTCAATGTTTCTCTTTTTTGGGGAAGAGCCATCATCATTGATAAATCTCCTTTCTTTGAGTGTGTCCTTCTATTAAAAACAGAGAAAGAAAGAAAAAAAACCCGGTAACAAATGAGCACTGTCACACGAAACAAATGCACACAGAGTCCATGTCCAAATGCGCGTGACTCATTCTGTGCCTCACGTCCATTGCTCCTCTGTTGGGTGGTTCCTCACTGGTCTGCTGAGACATGCTTGGTCATGAGTTCTTAAGTCTCGGAGAGTGGTTTTTCTTTATAGTATTGTTGTCCTTTTATAAGTTGATCTGCTCACTTCACCTTATATCATCTCCCATTTCCTAAGATTCTTTGAAATCTCCACTTTTGTCATTTCTTCTGGTATAATAACATTTCATTGTGATCTGAAGAGACAATTTGTTTATCCAATTGATGGGCAGCCCTTTAAAGTTTTAGCTGTCTTCTAAAATGTCTTCTTGGGCAGCTGGGAGGCACAGTGGATAGAGCACTGACCTTGGAATCAGAAAGACTCATCTTCATGGGTTCAAATCTGGCTTCAGACAGTTATTAGTTGTGTGACCCTGGGCTAGGCACTTAACCCTGCTTGCCTCAGTTTCCTTATCTGTAAAATGAGCTGGAGAAGGAAATGAATGACAAACCATTTCAGTCTCTTTGCCAAGAAAATGCCAAATGACTACTGATATACATACATCAATATTTGTAAATTTCCATATTATATAAAAAGATTTACCTGTATGATACAACCAATACATATACTATATACATGTACATATGTGTATACATGTGTATATAAATATACACATACACATATGTATGTATGTATCACAAAATAGAGTCCTCTGGGAAGGTTATGAATAGAGCTATACTGTGGTCCCCTAATGGAGGGAAGCACAAATGTAATCCATCAGCAAAGAGTTTCTACCATATGATGTTTTATGTCAAGAAACCAGAAGTTGTCCAATGCCTAGCACAGTGTGACACATAGTAGCTACTTAATAAATGTTTATTGATCAATTCTGGACCTAAGGATACCTGTAGCACCCAAGGCAGTGATTTTATATCTATCTATCTGTCTATCTATCTATCTATCTATCTATCTATCTATCTATCTATCTATCTATCCATCCAGCTGTCTGTCTACCTACACACATTTCTATTTATATAGTGCTGGTTCTGCTGGCAACCACTTAATGATTGCATAATACAAGTCATATCCAACATCAGTTTTTGAACAACAGGATTCAACACACAGAAGGAGTCACCTTACTATTCCCCATTTCTAACTTTAGGAGGAGACTAGATTGTGTTCATAGGTATTACCTTTCTGCTTTATGTTGTTATTGAATCACTAATCAGATGAAGGATTTGACCTACTTGAAAAGTTCATTATACAATCTCTCATGTTTTCTAGTCAGTAAAGTGGCAGTATATTAAAAGGCTTTTAAAATTGTAGCTCCTTCTAGATTCCCCAAAGTATACCTGTACTGTTCTTTATTTTTTTTTTCTTTAGGCAATTGTGGTTAAGTGACTTGGCCAGGGTCACACAGCTAGTGAGTGTCAAGTGTTTGGTCTGAGACTGAATTTGAATTCAGGTCCTCCTGACTTCAGGGCCGGTGCTCTATCCACTGTGCCACCCAGCTGCCCCTTACACTGTTCTTTAAATGGGCTTCCTCCTCAGGAGACATCTAAAGTGTCATTCTGCCCCAAGACATGTGGGACACTGTGGAAGAATTCTACACATGCCCTTAATAATGTGGTGGAAATTGGATGCCCTGTCCTAAGGCTCTTCGTTATGCTTTCTGCCAGATCTGCCACAGTCAAGCCAAAGGCCCAGGGAATGTAGTCCTTTAACTTGATTGCCTCATAAGCACTTTCAACCACCTCTTTATTAACATCTTTCCAATGTTCTGACTCAGCAGCAGTTCCAAAGGCAGGATAAAGATTCTTCAGAGAGACCTCCCCCACACAACATTCACACCACTCCACACAGGAGAGCTCGAGTCTCCATGTTCCCAAAGATAACTTTGGGACAAAATCTAGATTGCAGCCACTTCTAAACAGCACAGTTTCAGGAACGGCCACTTCATTTCTGGGCCATGTATGTCAAAATATCCACTGCGTTAGAAAAAAACAAGCAGCTTGCTATTAGTGCTGTATTTGGCAATATTAGGAATGATGAATTTAAAGATGTTCACCTTATGCTGGACCAAATGAAGACGACTTTCTCTCTCTAGCTGCCATGTCCCAGCCATAACAACAACCAGCTTTGAGTCTGCAGTCACAGAAAATCCTCGGTGTTCTGAGGAAAAGCCTACCACCTCTCTCTCCCTTTGGTGCATCTTCTACAACATGGGACAAGAGTCAACTCATTGGTCAGATGCTTTATTTAAGACACTGATGGCACTGTGCCATGCCAGCCGCACCAAGTGATCACAGCGGTGATCTCGTTACGGGGAATCTGGCCTTCCTTTATGACATTCACAATCCGCTGGCAGTTCCCATCTTGGACCTGGAGAGAACCCAAGCTTCAATGAGGTTCCTGGTTAGGCTTTGAGAGGCTCTGAGACATGAGTCTGCTGCTCCCAGACTCATGTCTCAAAGATCTCTTAATTACTTACTCTCTTGGTCTTTTTTCACTCCTCATCTTTCTCACCCTGTCACAGCATCTGCTATCGTTGATCCCACCCTCTCTTCTCTGGGTTGTCCCAACACTCCTCACTCTCAGTTCTTCTGCTTGTGTGACTTCTCTATCTTCTCTGTGTCCTTTGCTGGCTCATCATTCCCCTCCACACACCGGTGGATATTCCCCAAGGCTCACTCTTAGGCCCTCTTCTCTTCTTATTCTTTCTCTCTTGGTGACCTCCTCAGTTATCTTTATGTGGTTGACTCCCAGATCTCTCTCTCCAGCCCCTGTCTCTCTTCTGAGCTTAAGTTCTACATGACCTATTGGATATTTTCAACTGAATGCCCCAGAGATATCTCAAAGCCAAAATGTCCAAAATGAAAATCATGATCTTTTCTCCAAAACCATTGGGAATGTTCCTCTTTTTGCCAAGGGCGCTACTATTTTTCCAGTCTCCTGAATCTGTAACCTCCCCCTCATCCTACATATTCAATCGTCAGATCTTTCAGTAAGTCTCCACACCATCTTCATCTTCCCTAATGTCTCACCTCACTCGTTTCCTGTCATCGGTCTTCCTGCCTCAAGTCTCTCACCACTCCAATCCATCCTACAAACTGTTGACAAACTAACAACTTTAATAGAGATCCAGAAACGTCAATTCCCTACTCAATAAATTCCCATAGTGTCCTATTGCCTCTAGAATAAAAAATTAAGTCTTCTGTTTGGCTTTTAAAAGCCCTTTGTACCTTGATCCAATGTATCTCTTTCTAGTCACATTGGATATCACTCCCTCTTCCATTATTTCCAATCCAATCCAATCTTCTTTGCATAGAAGCATCCTCCAAATAGCAACCAGGTGCCTTAGTGAATAGGAAGAAAGAAAACTGGCCTTTATTAAGCACCCACTGTATGCCAGGAATTGTGCTAAGCACTTTACAATGTTATCTCATTTGATCCTTACAACAGCCCTGGAGGTAGGCAATTACTATCTCCATGTTACAGTTGAGGAAACTAAGACCAACAGAGGGTAAGGGACTTGTCCAGGGTGACACAGCTAGTAAGTGTCTGAGGCTGCATTTGAACTCACATCTTCCTGCCTTTCAGCTCAGGGCTCTCTATTCACTGTACCACGTAGCAGTCTGGCCATGCTGTTGTTATGGTGAGATAGCAAGAGACCCCAAAGTGGTGGTTCCTCTTGCTGCTGTCATGGTGGGAGATAAGCAAGGTACCCCAAAGGGGTGACTCTCTCATGCCAAGAAGCCAAGTAATTTCAGTAATGCATCACCAAAAGTTTGAGAGCAGCCAATTTGTCACCTCCAAATGCTTTCATGAATGAGGTTGGCCAGAAGAAGTAAAGGCATGTATGGGGTATGTGTGTGTGTGTGTGTGTGTGTGTGTGTGTGTGTGATTGGGAGGGGGGATGCCCCCCAACTCTAAGCTAATAGCAAGAAGAGGTCTTTATGGCCACCTTCCTACCAACTTCCGGTCTCAGATTCAGCTTCCCAGCTCCCATCCAGGGCCCTGCTCTCCTGATTGGGAGAATTCTACCTTTTCCCAACTTCCCTGTTACTGTCCAGGGTGCCACCATCCTTCCAGTCACCCAGGCCAGACACCTAAGTGGCATCCTCTCACCCCCAACCATATCCTATCTCCTATCTCCTCCTGCATTCTGAGCCTGCCACTACCCAGTGCCAGCCTTCATCACTTCAGGCTTGGACTATTGCTGTAGCTGCTGGGTGGTTTCCCTGTCTCCAGTCTATTCCCTCTCCAGTCCCCCTCCTCCCCCCCAGTGATCTTAAAGTTCAGGCATGACCATGTCACTTTCATATTGAATAAACTCAGGCAGCTCCCTATGCCATCCAGGATTAAATACAAAAATCCCATTTGGCTTTTAAAGCCCCTTAGAATCCTCCCTTTCTATCTTTCTTGTCTTCTTACACCTTTCTCCTCCACTCTGCAATCCAATGACATTGCAGTCTGTCCCCCATTGCTGGAACTCTCTCTGCTCCCAGCTCCAGCCTGCTGCCTGGCACCCCTGGCTGCCTTAAACCCCAGCTAAGGTCCTGTCTTCTGCTAATAGCTGTCCATGCCCCTTAATGCTTGTGTCTTGCTTCTATTGATTATCTCCATTTGATCTTGCACATATCCTGTTTGGACATTCCCCTTTAGACTGTGAGCACCCTGAGGGCAGGGATACCTTTCTTTATATCCCCAGCACCCAGCCCAGTGCCTGGCACATAGGAAGGGCTTAGTAAATGTGTATGGCCTTGACAGGAAATGCTTTTTGGATTCTGATTGGCTCCCTTCACATGGCATCTGGCCATAACAAAGCCTTTTCCTACCTCGTTACAGAAATGTTTGGGAGTAAAATCATTCTCATAACGAAACTTCTGCTCTAACAAGCCCAAAGGAGGAGATCCAAGGTCCAAGGCTTCCCTCTGGAGACGGTGTCTAACGCCCTCGAGGCCCCAGGTCACCCCCCCTATCCCCCCCCCCCCGCAGGGCGCAGCAGGGAGCACGACCCAGGGCGCAGGGCTCAGAGCCCTGGAAGCACGGCCCCGGGTGCACAGCCGGCTCAGAGCCCACGGAGCACGGCCAGGGAGCACGGCCCAGAGTGCACCGCCCAGGGTGCACGGCGCAGGCCGCAGGGCCCGGGGCCCCGGCAGTGCTTCGCAACCCAGCGTGCACAGACAGGGGGACTTTCTGCTTTGCCAGTTTAGGATGGCAGGCCAGCTCCAACCAAGATGGAGTTACTGAGGGTCAGAGGGAGGTACGCTCCATTTCAGGCCCAATCCCGAGGCCTCAGGGGCGGGGCGGCTGGGTCTGGGAGGGCCCAGAGCCCGGAGCCCAGAGAGTGCCAGCCCACGGAGGCCCCCCTTCTTCCTCCTCTTCCCCTTCCCACGCGGCCCCGCCTTGGCAAGCTCAGTCCTGGACCTCCTCCTCCAGGAAGCCTTCGGGCCTGAGATCGCCGGCTCTCAGCTTGTTGGGAACCTAGGGCCGGGCTAGGGGGCCCCCGGCGGACAGAGCCTGGACCTGGGCCCTTGCTCCGGCCTCAGGCTCCGCCCCGCCTCTGCTGCCCTTTCCTGCTGCCTCCCTCCTCCCGTCGGACCTCCCGGTGAGTGTAGCTGGCTTCCCCGATGGGACCCCAGGCATCTGTTCTTCAACCTGGCTCCAATCCCCCCTCCACCCCAGGCAGCCACCCCCCATTCCTGCCTTCCCTTCCTGGAAGGCACCCTGCCTCCAGCTCCGCCCCCCCCTCCTGTCTTAGGCCCGTTCCCCCCCTTTGGTCCCGCCTCCAGCCTCCTCCCCTCTGTCCCGCCCTCTGCCAGCCTCCCGCCCCTCCTCCCAGAGTGCTCGCCTCCAGGCTCCCTGGCACCCCGCCTTCCCCTTTTGGCCTGCCCCCTGCTCCGCCCCCCAGGGTCCCGTCTTCGATCTCCTTGGTTCTGTTCTTCCCCCACCCCTAAGATTCCTTCTTTCAGCGGGCCACATCCCGTATTCAGCCCCTCTTCTCCGTAGCCATCCAGTCTCCTTCCTATCTTATCTTCCATCCCCCAGACACTTACCACCCCCAGGCCCCCAATATACTTGCCCTCATCCCAGCTACCCCCAAATCTAGACGGTCTGCTTAAAGCTATATTCAGATGTCCCCCTTTCAGCCCTCCATCCAAGCCCCCAAAGGCCTCTCTCCTTCAGTCTACCCTCCAACCCCCCCTAGACATCCCTCCTTTAGCACTGCCTCCCCCCCCCACTTCATCTGGGTCCTGTTTGGGTTCAAATATCCTCTCCCACTCGCTGGAGCCAGGGGTTATGCCTGCAGCCTGTCAAGCCTTCGACTCCCCTCCCCTGTGTCTTTGCCCCCCCTATTCTCTAGGCTGTTACAGTGTCCTAGTAGTCCTGGCTCCCATTTGTTCAGTCGTGTCTGACTCTTCATGAGCCACTGGACCCTACGGCCCATGGAGTTTTCTTGGCAAAGATACTGGAGAGGTTTGTTATTTCCTTCTCTGGTTGGATTAAAGCAAACAGAGGTTAAGTGACTTACCCAAGGTCACACAGCTAGTAAGTGTCTAAGGCCATATTTGAGCTCAAGCTCTCCATCCTCTGAGCCATCTAGCTGCCCCTCTGTCTCCCAGACCCATTCGCTATTTAGGCTTCCTGCCTTCTGTTACAGCCCACCCTCCCTCCCGAGCACTCAGGGTTTCTCTCCCACTATCCCCTTCACCTTGGATCCTATCCTAATCCTGGACTCCTTGCCCCAGATTCAGTAGTCTGAGCTTCCAGCCACTTTACTCCCAGAAGAAATATTGTTTCTAGCCCTCCGCTTTACCCTGTCCGTTTCCAAGCCTGTCAGCGCCATGGCCCTCCCCATCACCAGCCTTCCCTAGCATCCCTCCCTCTTGGATTAAAAAAAAAAGTGATGTGTTTAGACCGAGAGTTCTTAGCCTGGGGCAAATTTAAAAAAAATTTCCATAACTATATTTGAATATGACTGATTTCCTTTGTAATCCTTTATTTTATTTTATGCATTTAAGAATGTCATTCTGAAAAGGGGTCCCCTGTCCACAGACCTCACCAGACTCTCATAGGAATCCATGACTCAAATGGTTAAGAGCTCTTGGCTTTAGATACTCTATGTGCTTGGAGGTTGGGGGGGGAGGGGGTGGAAGGAGACTGGGAAGGGAGAGGGTGTGGATGGAAAGAGCTGATTCTGGATGCAGTGAGTACTCTGGCTTCTTTCATCCCATCTGGGCCTCCAAAGTCCTTCCTACTTCTTGGGTCTCCAAAGGAGAAAGCTGAGGAGATTGAAGCAAGGAAGGATGTCAAAAATTGTTTCTGTTCTGACCTTCTGTGTTTCCAGACCTGACCCTTACTTCTGTCTTCTTTTGGCTTGAGTCTCTCCCTATGACAAGGCCTGGAGCTCTTACTCTCTTTGGGACTTTCCTCTCTGTAGGTGCTTGTGAAGATGGCCAGCCTCCAGTCTGGGAAGGGAAGGGCAAGAGCTCTCCCCTTCAGGGATCCTTTTGCATCCCTAGCTCAGCCTGTGGAGGATCCAGGCCCGGCCCAAGAGGGAAGCCTGGAGCCAGAGCGAATGGCCCCTAGAACCCGAGAACTCCGTCCATGGTAAGTGCAGTCAGTCCACAGACGTGACAAACACCAGAAAATACCAAGAGAACAGCAGAACAAGATTCAATACAAAACCATCATTCATGGATTGTTTCTTTTTTAATAAATAAATCTAATACAGTAGTAGCTAGCTGTGGGACCCTGGCCAGGTCACTTCACCTCAGCCTAAATTTCTTCATTTGTAAAATAGGAATAGCGATAGTACCTGCCTCCCTGGGATATTGTGAAGATAGAGGGAAGGGATGCATCTGTTAAGCACTTGCTGTGTGCCAGGCACTGTGCTAAGTACTTTACAAATATTATCTTGTTAAAGATGAATAAAAGACAATATTTATAAAGTGCCTTGCAAACTATATAATTGCTAGCTATTAATAGTAGTAGTTGTTTTCTTTTTTTTTGCCCTTCCAACCAAAAGAGCTGTTGTGAATATTTCAGTACCTAGGGGTCCTTTCCCTCAGCTTTGATCTCTTCCTGTGAACAAACACATATTCAGCTCCCATCAGGGATGACCGAGTTCCAGAATCACAGCATCTCAGTGGTGAGGGGGGCCTCAGTAGTCATTTCTGTAACTCATGCCTGAATGAGAATGCCTTCTGCCACCCCTATGTCCTTCGTGGTATCCAATGAGGGGAACCCATTCTATTTTTTGACAACTCTGTTGGGTAGGACATTTTTCCTTCACTTGAGCCTAAATTTGTGTCTCTACCACTCCTCCCTATGCTCCTGGTTCTATGGCTCTGCCGAGAAGAACAAGTCCAAACTCTCCTCTCTGTGACTGTGCTTGAGACATTGAAATTCAGCTAACATTTCATGTCCTGCCAAAGTCTTTTCTCCTTCCAGCAGTTCTTAATGGCCCCATCTCATGGCCCTTTACCATTGTGTTCATCCTCCTGGGGATGCTCTGGCCCTTCTCACTGGCCTTCCTAAAAGATACAGCCCAGAGTGAGACTTCAGAAGGGCCACTTCAGACCATGGCAACACACACAGAGTCTCAGGTCTTGGACCCTGAGCCTCTCACAGGGAGGCCTAAGATGGCATTCGCTTTCTGGGCGACTGTATCACACTGTTGACTTGTGTTGAGCTTGCGTCCATTTAGACCCCTAGATCTGTATCAGTTGAACTGTTGTCTAGCCAGCCTTCTTCTCTCTTGTACTTGTGAAGTGAGAGTTTTTTGAACCCTAGTGTTCAATTCTACTTTCATCTCTCTTAAATTTGACTTCAGTGGGTCAATGACAATCAATAAATATTCAAACAGCACCTACTGTGCACCAGGCACTGGGGACACAAATATAACAGTCACACTATGTCTGACACCAAGGAGCTTATATAACACCAGAAGGACTACACATGCCCACATGTAAGCACATAGGGCATATATCTCCTGTCCCTCTCCCAAGGAAAACACAGTGATTGAGGGGAGGGGGGTGCTAACAACTTGGGGAAAGGCCTATCAAAGTAGGGAACACGTAAACTGAACTTGAAAAAAACCAGGAATTCCAGAGGAGACACTAAGGAAGGGGAGAATGTCATAGCAAAGGACAGGGAGAGAGGGGACAGAATGATATTGGTAAGGATGCTGGTGACACTAGGGACTTAGAAGACATGAGGGGGAGTAACATGTAATGAGCATGGAAAGCTAAGAGGGCACAGGACAAGGAGAGGGTAAGACCAGACCAGAGCCTGGGACAGATAGAGCTGAGCTTGCTTCCAGGTGGGCTTCACCCTGGGTCACAGGAACTCCAGGGGGAGCCATAGAGTTGTCCAGCTTTTCTTTCCTCAAGTTGCCCACAGCTCCTTCTCAGCTGTGGCCCTGGGTCCTTACCTTTTCTGACAATGGCCTTGATATATACATCCAGAGAGTTTTCTAGTTAGACTTATGTTGGAAAATTCTCCAGCCTGCTCAAAAGAAGCAGCTGAAGACACCAGACCTTTCGAGGTTGTCCTCAAGTCAACAGATAGCTTCAGGAACATTCTGAGTTTTAGCATTTTTTTCTTCTTCTAGGCAATGGAGTTAAGTGACTTGCCTAGGGTCACGCAGCTAGTAAGTGTTAAGTATCTGAGGCCGAATTTGAATGCAGGTCCTCCTGACGGCAGGGCCGGTGCTCTATCCACTGCGCCACCTAGTTGCCCCATTTTAGCATTTCTAACATGAAATATACAGGACAATTCCATGCTCTTATTTTCAACCTCTGATTCCTGTCCTTGCTCCCATCTTCTCTTTTTGTTGTTATTAAGTCATGTCCAACACTTTGTGACTCCGTTTGGGGCTTTCTTGGCAGAGGTAGTGGAGTGGTTTGTTGTTTCCATCTCCAGCTCATTTTACAGATGAGGAAACTGAGGCAAACTGG